AGGTCTCCTTCTATTCAAATAGAATAAACTCTCAAAGGACTACTAGTCAATCAACAGGATTTTTATTTGCACGCCTACTATGTGCCTGGCATTGTGTTAGGTGCTGGACATTCAGAAGGGAAAAAGAGCACCATTCCATCCTCAGTGAACTTCTTCATAACTATCCTGGGAAGTGAGCAATTAGGCAAAACATTGTAAGACACATTGATTTTTTCCAAGCCCTCCAATGTACAGATTTGGAAACGGAGGCACCAGAAGCCAGTGTAGGTAGGGAAGCAGCCACCTGTCTGCAAGATAGCAAATGGCCTGGATTCATTAGCAGAACCCGCTCTCTTTCCATTATCTCTTCTCTGATGCCCAAGTTGCTGCATAGCATCTCCAAAAAGCAGCTCTCCAGCCTTCGCCTGTGTGGCTCTGAGGACAGAGCTCACTTTCCCATGAGACAGCAGCCCAGCCATCACAGCCTGCAGTGGGAACAGGCTTTTGCAGAAGGAGCCAGAGGCCAGGAGCACACCCAGCTTCTCTCCAGCACACCAACCTTTCAGACAGCAGGAGGCAGGGATTGAGACTGGGGTGAACAGCCTTGATCCCAGCGCTCCTGTCGCCTGGAGTCTCTGCCGTGGGTCTGCCCTGGCCTGTCCATCCCACTGAGCCTGCAGAATGGAGCACTCAGCCTGTGTTCACTCAGCACTGACAAGGGCAGCACCAGGAGCCTCTCACCAGCTGGCTCCATGGCCAGGCCTGTGACATCGAGGAGAGGCATGAGAGGAGAACTGGTTAGTGCCCCTCCACTGTTCCAGGGGCTCCGAGGCACCTTCCAGTTTTCTTGCAGCTCTGATTGGACAATGTAGCTGGTTTTGGCTCCAGAGCTGGAATGAAAGCTACAAGTATCGACTCCATGTGGAGAGTTAGGAGCCAACAAGCCACCTTTATGTCCTTCTCCCCTTGTGCAGTGACCTTGAAGGGCACATGCTGAAGTCGAAGTTGGCGTTGTCCCAAGATGAAGACAGCTGGGTGGCCTGAGCCGCCACATGCAGGGCTCATGTAGGATACTGCAGCTTCCATCAGACTTTGACCCGGCAATAAAGAAACCTTTGTTGTTCCATCTTAGGTCGTTGGATTGGGGGGTTTGTCAGTATTGTAGCAGCAGCCTCTTCTGTCCCGGCTGAGGCAGACTCAGACCTGGTTTTTAATCCTGGTTGATCAGTTATGAACTGTGGCTACGGGCGCGTAACTAACAGTCTCTGTGCCTCAGATCTTCCATGCGGACACCACCCCCGTGTTATTCACGGGGGCTGTTGCGAGAATTAAAGGAGAAAATGCGTGTGAAATGCGTGGCACACAGAAAGGACTCAGAAAAGGCTGCCTGCTCTTTTTTCTTAATATACACGATGTCACCTTATACCCATTTATAAATTAAGAAACCGACGTTCAAAGAAGTCAGGTTTTCCCCACTGGTCACACAGCTAAGAAATCACTGGGGAGTCAAGGAGAAGGGGTGGGAGAGGGAGGCCGGGTAGAAACGCCAAGGCGTGGAGGTCTGGACAGGCAGGAGCCGGTGGCCCTTTGAAGCTGTGGGCCGCTGGTCAGACACTCACCCTAGATTGGGGCTTTGACATTTTCTAACTGGACACAGACTTCTTCTCAATCTATTTTCTTAGCTGGGTGACAGAGATACAATCTCCTCATCTGGAATGTGTTGTCCTTGTTACTATCTAAGATCAAGTTCTTTTAAGTTTCGGCCTTCCACGTGGGCGTGTGGCTTTTCCCTTGAGGTTTTCAGTTTGTGGCTGTTCCTGACCAAACCCCATGTTGAATCCGGTGGAAGGTGGGTCCGTTGCGCCCTCTGGTGGCCACCGTCACCAGGCGCTCTTGGCTCAGGTCCGGATGAACAAACCTGGCCGTGGGGCTGGGCCAGCTCTGTCGCCATAAGCCAGCCACGGGCACTCATCCCCAAAGTGCTTTGCTCTGGAGCAACACCGTCCTCTGTCCCCACACCCCTGGGGAGTATGGTGCACTTGCAGTCTTTACCCAGGGCTCAGGAACCCCAGCCCTCGCGATTTAAGTTCTGGCTACATCCCTAACTTCTTGGCAAGTCACTTAACCTCCTTGAGTGAGGATCAGTTTCCTCTTTAAATTCCCCTCTCGAGAGACCAGTGGCTCTTGGCAGGATTGTTGCAGGATTAAATGAGCTTAATGGAGGTAAAGCACTCAGCACACGTTGCTGGCGTGTGAAAGGGAGCCAGCTGCGGTCATTATTCACAGGCCCCTTTTTTTCATGGGAGTTACGGCTGTCTGGCTGCCCGCCCGTCCCCCCGTTAACTCTCACCCTCTGGTGGCAGAGACCTTCTCTTGCCCGTCTCTGTATCTCCAGCCCCCGTGGCCCTCAGTGCGTATTTGCCAAGTGAAATATACACACAAAGCACGTTCGCTTATCACAGTCCTGTGAGGCAGATACACCCGGAATCACCGTTCCTGGTTTGCAGAGAGGGTCTGTCCGTGAACCCCGGTCTTTGACTGCTGGGGCCCGTGGCTGTCCATGGGTGTCCATGACCCAGTCATACCCTCCCCTTGGGTGGCCGACAAAGGGAAGAAATCTTCCAGCCACCTGCAAATCTATGCAAACGATTGTTCCCTGTTTTGGACACAGCTTCAGGAAAGCCCATCCCAAACTTACAAAAGTGGGAGGAAAGTTCTCAGAGCGTTTAGGTGCCCACCGGAAGCTGGGCCTGGATATCTGCATGTGAAAAAGTCTGCAGGACATACCACTTCCCATGGCAATTGGCTCTACGGAGACACCCTCCCCAGGGCTCAGAAGAGAGCGTTCTGATATCTGCCTAGGGTACCCTGTATGCCAGGAGGTGCCCAGCACCATGGCATCCCAGGGAGTCACCAGCCTGTGAAGGGGCAGGCTCTTGCCTGACCAGCGCAATGAACCTGGGGGCTCTGTCCCCTGCCAACATCCCAGCCCACAGCTCTCTTATTCGGCTCCGGCAGCAGTGCTGGGGCGAGGTCTGCATCTTCCGGGGCCTACGTGGGTGTTTAGGACCTTTCTTTGCCACACGCTGCTCCGAATTTCCTGTTGCCAGCACCCACCATCTTGCTGCCTGCATTCCCTCACTCATGGCGGGCTTTGCACATCAGTGAGGGTTTTTCTTCCCAACCTGTGCCCTCATCTGGCATGACTCTGGTGTCCCTGTGGAGCTCACGTGCAGCCCCTGCCCTCCGAGACCCTGGATGTCTTGCACCGCCTCTCCCTGGGCCCCGCTCCATCACTGGGAACTGCGCCATCTTGAAACCGCTGTTCACACTCCTTGTGCCCAGGTTGCCCAGACTCTCAGCCCCCAGGTGGTTCCTGGGAAGACCCTGTGTCCTAACACCCACAGGAATCCGCTGACGGGGTCTGCATCTTCTCCTGCCTTTCCTCTTTCACTCAGCTTCCACCCCCACATGCAGGCCAGCAGCCCACCTCCATCCCTGCACCCAGGCAGCAGCTGAGTAAAGGCACCTGACTGCACAGGTGGGGCCCTCTAGACGCATCCTCTCTAGCATCAACCCAGCCCTCCACGCCAGCTGCCTGTCCTCATAGTCATTTACTCTGATGACCCACAGTCCATGGGAAAACGTGCCTCAATTGTTCTCTCCGCCTGTCTTCGCCTCAGCTCAGCATTTAATCTCCCCAACTCTAGGGGAAAAGGAAGCTATCAGATGGCAATGACCTCAGCTTTGTGCCGCTAAAGCTGTCTGCCTCTGCCTGGGTCCCCACCCCGGCACCTCACCATCCTCTTGTGATGGAGGCGGGGGTCCCTCCATGCCATGTCCCTCTCGAGAGCCCTGCTCCACCCTCCTTCTCTCTGCTGCATCTTCCTCTCTCTACTGGCTCCTTCTGGACAGCATTTAAGTCCGCTGCAGTCTCTGCTGCTAGTCAAAACATCCTTCCTCAAATATGTGACCTTCTCCTTTAACCCTGTGCCCGCCCTGCACGGCCCTTCCCTCTTGGCACACTGCTGGAGTGCCCTACTCGCTACTTATACACGGGTCTTCGTAGCTCTTAGGTGATTCCCGCCTAGTTTCCACCTCCATCCCAAAGAGAGCCTGCTCTCACCCAGGTCATGCATGGTGACACTTCACCACCTCTGGGGACAGGCATCACCAGGGCGAGGCCTCAGTCTCCTTGAAGTGACCTTGCTATAGCCTCAGAGGCACCGCAGTGCCACAGATCTGTGGCCTCCCTGGCTGCTTCTTCTAACCTCCTTTCCTGTATTTTGCTCCTTGGACCATCTCATTCAACTCCCTGCAGGCCACATCCAGACCCAGGGCTTCGTGATCTATAGCCTGACGAGGCCCAGAGTTCTGTCTCCAAGTGGCTGGGGTCTTAGGGCCTCAATCCCATTACCCTCAGTATGGGCTCTGAGCTAATGGAGGGATTGATTCGGGAACCACCTGCAGCTGTGTTCTGAGTCAAGCTGAATTGGAACACGTGGCTTAGAATTGCAGCAAAATATCCCTCTTCATTATCTCATCCAATTGAACTGACTTTCTGTATCCAAACGCAGCCTCCTCTTTGCGGCAGCCCCATCAGCCTGGAAGATGAGCCACGTGCAGCCACGTGGGGGCCCAGAAAATAGGAAGCCTCTGCTTTTCAGAGCTCAGCTGAGAGGTGGCTGCGCTGAGGGCCCCAGGGTCCGATCAGTCAGCTGAGTCTTTTCCACCTGCAGGAGGTGCATGTCCGAGGGAAACAGGAGGGCAGAGCTGCCATCCTTGGAAGGCTTAGGGTGACACCTCTACAGGAGTCTTAGGTAGTTGGGGAGAGGGAGAAATTGGTTCCCTGCACCAAGCTCACTCCTTGACCACCATCTGTGGCCCCCTACTCCATGTCCCCTACTTGGCAGACATGGGTCATTAGTCTACCCCTTACAGCAACCTTTCAGGGCAGGTATTATTATTACTTCTATATTTTGAGGGAGGAAAGTAAGGCTCAAAGAGGCCAAGTCTCTTACCTGCCTGAGGTGCCTCACCCTATGAAATGGCGGCAGTGTTAGTGTGAGCAGGTGACTCAGCTTGGGCTACAATTAAAAAAATACCATAAGTCAGTGACTTAAACAGAAATGTATTTTCTCGCAATTCTGGAGGCTGGAAGTCTGGGGTCAGGGAGCCAGTTTGGCGGGGTTCTCATGAGGCCCCTCCTCCTGGCCACTGACAGCTGCCTTTCACTGCAGCCTCACATGGTAAAGAAGTCTGTGGGTCTCTTCTAGGGCGCAAACCTTATCATAAGAGCCCCCATCACTTCATCAAACCCTAATTACCTCCCAAAGGCCCCGTCTCCAAATGCCACCCCAACAGGGTCTTAGGGCTTCAACATATGCATGGGTGGGGGTGACACAATTCGGTCTATAGCAGTAGGATTGGAGTCAAGCACTCACAAGATACTGGGAGGATACGGGCACGTAACAGCCGGCATCTCTGAGAAGCAGGTAACCTGGAATATGCCGAATTATGGAGACCTCAAGTTTCAGCTGCAAATGACCAGGAGGTCTTTGAATCTGACACGTGGACGAAGCTTCACCTGGTTCTTCAGGAAAGGATGGACCCAGGGCAGGCATCAGATGGAGGGAGGGGGCAGGGCAGATAGCTACATTGTTACCATCATTTCTATAGAGAATGTCATCAGGGTGATATCCCACAGGTGTTTGAACATGACCCCCAGAGTCCTTGAATGAAGCAACTGAAGCAGCAGGGGCTGGCCCTTCCCCAGCAGATGAGGAAGGTCTGGAGAGTCACAGACATTTCCTGTCCAGGTCCGCTAGAGCATCGGCCTCCTGGACTTGCCTCAGATAGCCTCTGTCCCCTAGTAGGGGAGGAGCCTCTGAGGGTACACAGACAATTTCTTTTTGTGGCATGAGGAACTTCAGTGAATCCTGTGTGAATAAACCAGCTGCCAGAGGCATTGGGAGGACAAGCGGGGAGGCCCCTATGACTGGACACTGGAAGACAGGGCCCTCCCCACCCCCTACCCTGCTAGGTGATGCTGTGGTCAGGGAGGACGGCTGCACCTGAGAGGTGCTCACTCACAGTCAGGGGCAAAGTGGCAGCCTCTGAGGCTCACCCCTGGTCACTGTGGACCATCGACAACCAGAAAGAAAAGAAAAACGAGGGGGCATGGGTGGGAAATACCAGCCATGGCTGAATGGAGAGAATGAGCCAACAGGGTTACCACACTCTCCTTTCAATCCCTGTGCACATTAAACATCCTGGGAGAGTGAAGAGGAAATGGAAAATTCCACCTAGGAACTTCTTTTTAGTCCCCTCGATTTTTGTTGATGGCCGACCATGCGTTTGGAGCAGCCTGGTGGGTATTCCTAGGACGTCCCAGGGCTTCCAGGCCAAATCCTGGGAGGATCTGCATTTAGGGGAGGGGTGGGAGTGCAGAGGCAGATGGGCCTTGACTCTGGTCCCAGCATCCAGGCAGGTGCCGGGGCGTCCTGGAGGAATGCCTTTAGGCCCTCAGGGCTCTCTAAGGAGGGCCCTGACGATTTCTTTCCCTGGCCATGGGCTCTAGCCTGAGGCCAGGGTGTGATGTGCAGGACAGGACGGCCAGGCACTGGAGCCCCGCATAGCTGGCCTGGAAAAGTGGGCGGCGGGGCCTACTGCAGCATGGCACCACCTCGTGGCCACTGGTCCACATTGCAGCTGTGATGTGAGGCCAACCAGGAGCGAATTTGGTAGAGGCTGTATCTTCCATAGAATGGAGGGGTGGGAGCATGTCTTAGCGCCAGATGACGGCAGGGCCCTGTAGGGAGAGGACAGAGAAGTGATGGGACGAGGAGGAAAGGGAAGTCTAGAGTTGAGGAAACAATTTAGAGAAGATACAGGGACAGCATGAAGGCCCGTGGCAGGGGGCAGGAGCAGGACAGAGGCATGGGGGGAGGGAGGGAAACAGACCGGGCTCCCCAGCAGAACCTTGCTGTTCATTTCAGTCTTGCAGACAGCTCCTTCTCTGCTCCTGTGTCTGATGTACTAATAACTAACATTTGTTGTTGTAAGCCTTTTGCGTAGGTTAACTCATTTAATTCTCTACGTGTATGTATACAGAGGTATTACATCATACCAAACTTACCCATCATGAGATCAGGCAGAGAGGTTAAGTTACTTGCTCAGACTCACACAGCTAATAGGTGGGACCCAGGGCGGCCTGGCTGTAGAGCCTCTGTGAGAATCTTTGCCCCATCCTTCCTCTGGGGACTGCCCTCAGAAGGTCCCCATAGACAGTGTCTCAAATATCTCAGGAAACATCCTTGCTAAGCACAGAGTGACAGGGAGGCAGCAGGGCAGACAGGAGGCCCAGGACTGGAGAGAGACGCCTTGCTGTGAACCCACCTCCGCCCTCAGTCATGCACCAGCCTGCAGGGCTGTTCTGAGAGTTAAAGATCACGCCCAGGGAGGTATTGTGTGCCATACAAACTGGGAAGCCTGGTTACTGTTTATACCGATTTTATCTTACAGGCTCCCAACACTGGGTTTCTGAATGTTTTTTTTTAAAGGGAGATTAGTGCCAACTTTGGACCAAACTCATGCCCATCCCCGGGTGTGCCTGTCTCTGTGGGGGAGGACAGACTCTGGGCCAGCCCATATCAGGCCCTGGCCAAGGTGAATTTACTCAGCAAACGTTCAAGCAGGTGGTGCATGTCTACTGGGCCTCTTGAGATGCTTTTGTTTTTAATCTCACATCCCCTCTGATGGCCAGTGTTGTCACGCCCATTTGACACATGCGGCAGGCATCGGAGGTTCAGAGAACGTAGGTGACTCGCCAGTCACACAGCAGGGCACGGCACTCCTGGGCTTGAGAAGAGGCCTCTCCAAGGCCTACGCTGGGGCTCTCCTCTGTATTCTGAAATCTGGCCATTCAGTAGTGGTGACGCCAACCCAGTAGGCCCTCTGAGCTGGAGGGCTGAAGGCAGCGCAAATGCCTGACCCTTGTAGAAAAACAACACACACCCCCAAACGATAAAATAGCTCTTTATTTATTCACTTTGATTTGGATCATTGGAAATATTAAACAATAAATAAAACAGAGCGGGGGCTGAGGAAAGCAGGATCTTGCTAACGTTATTTGAATGCATCCCAACCAGTGCTCAGCTGCGCAACGACATGGAGAGAGGCGAGGGGGAATAGAAAGCAAATTTTAAAACACCAACAGCCAAACACACAAGACTGCACACAAGAAAAAGTGCTCAAGAAACTTTGGCTTTGAAGGGAATTCAGTGAAGGGAAGCGATTGTGCAGGAGGAAGGGAAGGAAACCGCGATCACCCTAAGGGGCGGGGGGCTGAAGGGGGAGGCCCTGACACAGGCTAGGGTTAAAGCTGACGTCCCCCAGCTCAGGACGTGCAACCAATGGCAGTTTTGTACTAGGAAGCAGCTGAGTGATGAGGCTGGATGATGGGATCGCCTGATGGGCTGGGAGGGAGAACAGGTGTAAAGGTGGCTCACTGCCCACAGGCAATTCAGTGCTCTCTTGGTAAGAAAAAAAAAGTCGGTAATGCCCTGATCCTGACAAGCTGTGAGATGCTGCCTTGCCTGTCTCTGCCTTTTCTTCTAAGTCTTCCTCTTTTTCTTTGCACAGGTGTCAGGGAGCACCCCAGAGGTGCAGGAGCTGGTGTTTTCATGATAAACAAAAATGGGGAGGCTGACTCTATCTCAAAACTGGCTAGCCCAGTTCACAGGGCAGGATAATCCTGATGGCATGTAGCCACATTTGCTGCAAACCAGATGTTCACGATGGATATAATGATAGCCCCGGGGCTGTTCTCAGGGGCGAGGACAGGCGCTGGTTCCTGATGGCGCATGGCTGGTGTACAGTCGTCTTTAGCTGGACAGTGGCCCCTTGAGGCTTGGGCTTCCCTGCACACAGCATTTTTGATCCTAGCCAGGGGAGGGAGAGAGAGTTCTTTTGGTTTCCTTTTTATTTATCTTCAGACTACTTCAAAGCAAACATACCCGTTCTAAATGTTCTTTGTGGTTTTAATCCACCTTTGCCAAGAGGCTGGAGTCACATCCAGGTGGGACTGGCCTCTAGCACCACCTTCTGGCCACGGCAGAGAATGGGATTCCATCAAAGCCTCCCAACCAGCCCTTTCCCTAAAGAATCACCCAGATATCTCTACCTTCTTTCTGTTTTTTCCCCCTATTTTACGTTCTATTTTCTCATATCTGGCTTTTCTCTCTAAGCCTAACCAAATGCTTTGCTGAATGATGTTTGGAAAAGCCAGAGTTTTAAAAGGCATTCATCCATTTATGAACTTTCTTCCAGCCCAGAATCCCTGCAGAGAACCAGAGGTTATAACTCTGTCCTCCTTTCTCCCCTAAAAGGTGGCTGAGGGCAGGCGAGGTGCATGTAGCTCCAGCTAGAGCAAATCAGTGCCCTGACTCACTGGGGAGACCCAGGCGGCTGGGACGTTGCTGACACCTCATGGGCCACTTCGTCAGCCTATCTTTGCAGCTTCAGGTTCAGCGCTGGGTGCTGCAGGCAGGGACCCCTCTGTTCTCTGCCTGAACGCAGGGCCAGTCTCCAAGGAACTCTCTGTCTGTAGAGTAGAAAGAGTTGTGGGCTGGGATTCAGGGGCCTGCGGGAGCCCCCGGCACTACGTGCCTGCCACGAGTGCTCGTCGTACTCCTACTGACAGCATGCATACTGCCCTTTGGCTAATACACACTCTTGTCTAATTCCCAGCCACCTTCACCCCAGGGATGAGTTCCAGTTGGTTTAAGCCAAACTGGTGCATTTAATTCTGGCTGCAACAACTGGCTTTTATTCCATTAAGTGCCCATTGCTGAGCCAATGAAACATAAGAGCTATCTGCTATGGGAAAGAGAAATGTGGTCTCCTGCACTGGAGGGCATGAGAGGCCACCCAGGCAGCCTGCGGACAGAGCTCGGTGCTGAGAGAGCCCAGGAGAGTCAGATGCCTCCATTCTGGTTACACTTTTTCCAGACGCTGAATGGAGACTTGCTGGGAAAGCCCGCCTCCAGACAATTTCAACATAGCGCCGGTAACACCCTTTTTCTGCTCAAACTCTGACTTGTGCTATCTGTCCCAGACAGTTCACCACTGCCCGTCACTTCCCTCCTTCACACTTCACCAGCAAAAGGCCACACCCCCCTACATAGCAGCAGCCTTTTAGGAAATGTGCTCAACAGGAAAAGTGGTTTTTCTGATTAAACATCAGTAACTAGAGTCAACAATCACTGTCCTCTCCCATGCCTGTCACGCTCCACTCCCCACCCAGCTGCAATGTGGCCTTGATTTTCTCATCAGTATAACGGCAAAGCTGGATTTGGAGGCTGGAAGAGATCTCACAGCTTGACCATCCTAGTGGGAGATGGGGAGACCAGACGGAGACCAGGCCATCGACCCAGGCAGCATGTGGCTCAGACACAGATGCCTCTTCATGTCGAGGGACCTATTCCTGCACAGCAAAACCCAGAGAAGTCGATTGCTCAGCCCGAGCCTGCCATCCCTGTATAGACTCAGCTTTTAGGAGAAAGGGAAGAGTTCAGGAGATAGCAACACTCTCTGTTTCAGTGTCTGATGATCTGGAGTCTGCCCCTGGAGTCACTCAGCCACTCAACAAACCTTTGCTGAGTTCTTCACCTCGTACATGGCTGTGGCTGTATGTTCTGAATGACGACTCAGCGATTTACCAGCCTTTCTCAGAAAAAAAAAAAAAAATCTTAAAGTTTTGGAGGATTTTAAAGCTGAAACAGGTTTTCTGTTTAACACATTCCCCATTCTGAACCTTTGAGAATCTGATAAAAGCTATAGATCCTCTCTCCAGAAAAATGCTCCTAAGTAGAGATTCAGGGAAAAACCAAACTTGGCATGCAACTTCCGGGGACTCTTGTGAATGGCCTGAAGCCACCTGTGGCCCATGACTGGTGTCCCCAAGCTCCTCCCTCCCCGTGTGCAGAGGGGGCTCCCCTGCGCCTGGGAGCACAGGCCCCACGCCTCCGTCACACTCCACCAGGAAAAAGTCACGCCTCCTCAAAGCAGCAGTGGCCTTTTCCGGGATATTTTCAACAAGAAAAGTGGTTTTCCTGCTTAAACATTAGTAACTGGAGCCAACAATCACTGGTTCCCACATTTCTGTTACTCTCCACTCCCCACCCAGCAGCAGTAAGGTTTCGCAGAGTTTTGGAGACTCCTAGCCTGAGAATAAATCCAAGTCCACAATGAGGAAGAAGGAAGGTTGGGTTGGAACAGGAGGATGCTGAGGACATTCCACAAACCATCCAAGCCCTAGATACCCCCAACACCCCACGTCTGAGGACTCCTACAGACCCCCCTTAAACACACCCCCGTTTCCCAGCTACTGGGTGAGGCAAGTTTCATTAAAACACCAGGACCACCAACAGAGCCAGGGTGCAACAATGTCAGTTGAATTAAAAAAAGAATCAATAAATAATCACGAAGGCTAACAAGGAAAGGATAACAGCTGGGGAGTAAGAAGATGAGGTATGTGGCAGTCACCATTCCTGGGATATCCTTGGCCCAGACCCCCAGTGACAGCCCCAAGATGGCCAGCAGGGACTTGACCCTGAGCTCAGGCCCTCGGGGAAAATGCTGCTGGCAGCCTCCCGTGTGGCTTTGGAGGTTGCGGGCACCCTATTGAAGAGTGTGAGAATGAGAATGTACGTTCCATTCTGACGCGCTGCTGGGTGCTGTTGAATATCCTCAGAGCTTTGTTCCAATTCAGGTGCTGGCTCAGGAAACCAGAAAAGATGTTCCCAGCCAGAGAGCAAGCAGGGCCGCTGGTGGGGGTCCCTTTTCCCAAGTAAGGGCTTTTGTTTCATTTCAGCCCATGCATGCTTTTCTTTCCCAAATACAAAGGCACATGGAAGTGGTCAGATCCGCTCTCGCCACGATTAGAACCACGAGATGGACTACTCAAAGGAACATCTGCTTGGGAAGAGGTATCTGCAGGAGTCAGAAACACGGCGCCAAGTTTGGGGATTTTTTCTTTTCCTTTTTTTTTTTTTTCAGAGACAGGGTCTCACTCTGTTGCCCAGGCTGGAGTGCAGTGGTGTGATCACAGCTCACTGCAGCCTCAAACTTCTGGGCACAAGAGATCTTCCCTCCTCAGCCTCCCTAGTAGCTGGGGCTACAAGTGTGTGCCACCATGCCTGGCTAATTTTTTTAAATCTTTAATTTTTGTAGAGACAGGAGTCTCACTATGTTGCTCAGACTGGTCTTGAACTCCTGGGCTCAAGTGATCCTCCCGCCTCGGCCTCCCAAAGTGTTGGGATTATAGGTGTGAGCCACGGCACCTGGCCTCAAGTTTCTGTGAAAATCTTTGGGGTAGGAGCCTCTGGTGGCTCATAAATGAGTTTTGGGAAGAAGATGACAGGGTTGTCACGCCAAGCGAGAGGCCAGGCTTCGTGCAAAGAAGGGCAGCATCTTGCCCCGGGTGCCAACAGCGCCTGGCATGTCTCTGTGCTAGACAGAATCGCCACTCAAGTCTCTGCCCATCTTCCTGGGAAACTGTCCTGTCTCTCAGAATATAGGCGCCTTCCACATTTGTTCCCCAAGCTCGCTCCGGGAGCTAAAATGATTTTAGTGTGTGGAGGTTGAACCTTTCCCAGCGCCTCCCCAGCTCTGGGGCAGCGGTGGGGGGATGCTGTCCCCACTCAAGACAGGTTCCGAGACATGCTCTGCCACGCTGGCAGAGCTTAGTGACCTTGCTGAATAGATGCTGCCAATGGCTGGGTGCAAGAGGCTGCGAGCGGTGCCTGGGCACACACCTGAGGCTGCCCCTCCAAGCTCCGGGATGAAACGGCTCCGGCAAGATGCTGGGGCTGGAAACACAGAGGTGTGACAGTGCGTCCATCCTCCACCCTTCACTGCGTCATCTCCCCTTGAAGATCCGGATTTTATTGATGGAGGCCAAGGTGGCCGTCACATTAGACTCGAAGTCTGCATCGTGCACCCCCGTCTTGCGAAAAGCCCCCGCGGACGGGTTGTTCTCCCAGTAGTGGTGCCAGTTCCCTTTGCTGTCTGCCCCGAAGCCGTACAGGTCCACCTGTGGGGGCAAAGCAAAGATGAGAACCAGACAGCAGGGCTGCTGGTGGCCCCTCTGAGAAAGGAAGCCTGTAGGCGTTCCTGGAATCCCACAGGACCATAAACAGCATTTCCAAGGACTCAGACTAACCCTTCATTAAAACCCTTCTCTACATTCCTGGAACTCTGAGAGGCTTGGTGAAGCAAATGCAAGTTAAGTAAAGCTCAAGTCCAATGCCAGAAGCACCCTGAGAGATGACTGCATGTGGGTGGTCTCGGAGCCCGGGTCTTACCTCTGCAGCAAGGGCAACCTATTCTTCCAGAATTGAGGAGCTACAGAGGGAAGCAATAGGAAGGAGGCCGTGGAATGGAAGAGAGTGGAAGGAAAGCAGGGCTTTGGGGCCAAGCAAACTGCCCCAAATCCCAGCTCTGCCACTCCATGATGCTCTGGGCATGTGAAATCACTTGTTTGAGCCTCACTTTCCTCATCTAGAAAATGGGTCCAAGAATCACAATTGCAATGAGGCAGAGGGCAGGGTTGATCCTTTTCTTCTCTGCGGCCAACATTCATCTGGTCCAGGCGCCCTCGTGGCCACTAGGCCAGGCCTTTCACATACATGACAGACGCTGTGCATTTATTCTGAGCCCAGCACCCTACTGGCTGTGTTGAAGTTCAGGCAGAGCTTGATCAGATGCCAGCTGCGCAGCTGCTGGGGGAAGCAGCCTTGGGGCTTACAGCTTCTTGGAGTCACTGACTGAGCGATGCTTGTTGGAACTGGGGCTAAATTCAGGGCTCCCACAGCACAGAGGAGGGAGGGGCTGATGCCCTGAGAAGTCAGAGGAAGCTCTTCAGAGGGGGTGGCATGTGGGTCGAGTCTTGGAAAATCAGTACAAGATGACCGGAAGGAATCGCATGGAGGGGTTTCCAGGGAGAGGATGTGCTATATGCACTGCAGCGTGGAAGACAGATTGGAGGGGTGGGGACAAAGAGGGGACAGCGGACAGCTCCATGCCATATGTGGCTTTCTAAGGAAATGCAACATGGACGTGGGCCTGCTCCAGGGCAGGGACATTAGGGCCAAACAGGTGGGAACCATGGGAAAAAGGGCTCTGAGCAGAAACCCAAGCAAGGGTCTGGGACCAGCTGGCTGGAGGTGGGTGGGGTGGGGAAATGACAGGGGCACCCACGTTGCAACCTGGGAACACCAGGGCAGGGCTGAGCCTGGGGACCTGCCTTGCAGTGCCTCTGACCCCTTCCTGGGATTTCCACCAGGCACCAGGCAGGGTGGGGCTGGGGCTGGGCTGGAGACAAGAAGGGCCCTGCCTGAACCCAGGGTCAGGGAGGAAGTGGGGGCTGTGTGACCCGCCCTCCTGCTCCTCTTCCTGGGGCGGCAGCAAGCCTCTCAGAGCATCCGTGGAAACCCGAACACAGCCTGGTAGATGGCGAAGGACGTCGGAAGGGAAATGCATGCTTCTCGAGATCACTGGTTCTTAATGTCGGCAGACAGTGGAACCCATGGGGGCCTGGCTCCATTAATTCTGGAAAAATTGGGCCAGGATGTGGCCTGGGTGCTGGAACTTAGACCCACAGATGATTCTAAGGAGTAAGTGGGATTGAGAACCGCAGCCTTAGACAATTCTCACTATGAGAATCCGCTCCTGTATCCGGAATCTGCTGCTTGATCCGAGCTTCCACCGCCATGGTCCTGGGCACTCACACAGAATGTGCCAGAACTCTTGCTCCCGAGAACTTTCTCACTGAGCACTGTTACTCACTGAAACACCCTGGGAGACACACGTTGCAAGCCCTGACATAGAGACAGAGAATCCGAGCTTCTGGAAGAGGCAGGCTAGGTCTACCTGCCCTCCCTCTCCCTGCCCTCCCTCGGGAACACAGGACGGTGAGCTCTGTCCTCTGGGCAGCCCTGCGGGCAGGGGGAGGGTGGCATACCTCATCGCAGACATGCATTGAGAAGATGACCGAGAGGATGCCGGTAGATGGGTACCGCCCGTGCCCTTGCAGCCAGTTGTCAAACACATACTTGATGAAGGCTGGGTGGTAGATCAGGATCTGCGGGGATGGGAAGACATGGCCCTTAGTGAGTTCCGGTGGGCAAAGGACATGGAGCGCCTATCAGACACACACACTGTGGCGGCCATGGAGGCACAGCCATGAGCCTGACGGATACCCCTGCCCTCGTGGGCTTCCACGCTCGTGGGAAAGATGGACACTCATCCACACGAGTAAGAGACAGAGGTGCTGAGCTAATAAGTGCTATGGACAGCAATGATGCAGAGGAGGGCCCTACAGGACGGTGTGAGGAGGATCGCTGAGCTGACACACAGAAAAACCCAAAGAGGCCAAGGAGTGAGACAGGAGACTGCTCAGGAGAAGGGGGCCCCAGGGAACAGCGTGAGGTGGGACCAGACACTGTCAATGAGTGAAGACGTAAGCATCAAGCCACCTAATGATCGCTGGAATCATCGCCAATCCTTAAAATGACCTCATGTCCCAGGTTTCCCTCTCCTCCTGCGACAGATAAGAAAACTGAAGCCCAGAGAGGCTAAGTGACCTGCCCCATGTCATGCAGCCGGCAGTAGCTGAGCTGGGAGGGGGCCGGTATCAGGCTTGGCCTTGGTTCCTCACCCAAAGCCGGCCTTGAGGACAATGAAAGGGACTTCTCAGGCAGGAGAGGGCGTGCATGTCCAGAAAGCCAAACTCCAGCCTCTTGGAATGGACTGGAAGGGTGGATTCTGTGGACCTCTGGTAAACCATTCACCTCTCAGTGTGGCCTCCTACCATCTCTAGGAGGCTGTCCTTTCCACCAATGCTACCCTGTAGAGACCCATAAGTGGCCTTTTCCCTGAGGCAGCACAGCCCAATGCAAAGGGCAAGATGCTGGAGGCACAGGAAGTCTTCAATTCTACCCTTATCCAGAACTAGCTGTGTGTCTCTGGGCAAGTTTCCTGACCTCTCTGAGCCTATCTAAGTTTGCTAGAGTATGCAAAAGGCCAGTGTGGTAGGCACCTCACTTCCCTCCTTCTTCTGCCCTTTGCCCATCTCTTGACCAGCCTCATGCCAGGGGCCTGCTGGGGAAGATGCAGACATGGAAAGAGATGAGAGGCAGGAGGTGAGGCCTGGCTTTGAGAGTAATTCACAAACCACAGCGTGCGTAGGGGTCCCTGGAGAACATGTTAAAACCAGAATGCCGGGCGGCCAGGGTTTCTGATCAGTAGGTTCGAGACGGGCCTGAGGATGTGCATCTGTGACAAGCTCCCGGGTGATGCTGCTGGCCCGGGGGACCCCGCTTTGAGAATCTCTCCCAGTGTTTGACCTCTTCCCCCAGGGGGCTAGCTAAGTGGGAGATGCTACCTCCAGCAGCCTGGGGATCTGGGGGCTGTCTTGCAACTCAATGCCGTACCCGAGAGCAGAGCCTTAGATGAGGAAGCCTGAACTTAGAACAACGGGGCTGGGGCCTCCACTCACCTTATCCTGTTTCACTCTGATCTTTGCAGGAACTGGGACGTAGGTGCTGCAATTGGAGAAAGAGAAGCTGGTTAACGGGGCAGGGGACAGGCCCAGGAACCTGGGCACGCAGCTCTGGGGGTAGTGACTAGAGAATGAAGCAGGTGTAGCCTCTCCTGCCCCCCACACCTTCCCTCAGGGACCCTCACCTCCCTACCCCAGCCACAGAAACCCCCTGCCCACAGCAATCCCCGATAGACACCAGAGGGTGGTCTTGCCTAATTTGAGGACATTCTGCTGGGTTTTGGCTCCTACTCCCCAAAAAGGTGAGGAGGACTTGCTCCAAGCACAGCCTTAAGGAATGGAGTGGGGGCCGTGGTGCCTCCACCTCTCAGGGCCAGGGCACCCCTGCCGAGCTGGGGCACTGGCTGGTGAGACCCGCGGCTGCCCCTTCCTCAGCTGGGCGGTTGCATGTACCCCGAGTGCAGAGGTGTCAAAGCTGGTCCCACGGGTGCGATTCCTGCTCCCGGAGGAGACTGCAGCTGAGCCACATCCAGACCTGGCTCCCACACCGCCCCACCCTGGTCTGCCTCCCTCACCCCTCGTCTCCTGCACCCACATCCCGGGGCTGGCTCTGTTCCTAGAAAACCTGGCCGAAGACAAGACGGCTTGTGGAAATCTGGACATCAAAGCACTTCCCTTCAGTCAGGGTTAGAGGAGAGCACAGGCTCTGTGTGGGGTTCAACCCTGGGCAAGGTGCTTGGCCGAGCTCCAGAGTCCTCACTGGGAGAATGGAGCAAACGATAACGGCTATTGTGAGGATTAATTGAGATAATATGTGCCAAGTGCCATGTGCGGTGCCTGCTCAGAAAACTAGGTTCCTGATTGTCAGGGAAGCCACAGCTGCCTTGCTCAGCACTGCCTGCCCTGGGGAGGGGCCCAGGTTGCACCTGTACTCCCCATCCCTCATATCTTAGGAACCCTCACCTGGCCAGGCTCACGTAAGTTTGAAAAGCAAGGTGCTGTTATTTGTCAGGCTGCACTTCAGAAATAAAGGGAGGCAGAACTCATATGTACCGACCCTTTCTAGTGGCGGCCCCTCTTCCCGAAGAGTCTCCGGGGTGCGTGGAGGTCCCTCCGGGCATTGTTAGCAAGAGGACACTAAAGCTTGTGGTTCGTTAAGTGATGGGGAGGGAAGAGTTGGAACAGTCGGGGAGGCAGCCACGGGAACTGGGCTTGTGTGTGCCAGAGGAGGCTGGGGGAGGGGAGGCACCCCGGTGGAGGCACAGCAGGACCACGGCAGGGTTGGGGGACAGGGTGTCACTGCAGGGGGCGGAGCAGTGAGGCGGGGCCACAGGGGGGACTCACTGGGAAATGGTGCCCGTGGTGGTGGCGCTCACCACCCACTCCAAGTCGATGGTCTTGAAGGGCACCAGGATCATGCTGACATTATCTCCCAGCTCCCGGAAGCTCTCAGGGTACACCAGATGGTGGGTGGTCTTCGTCCCAACATCAGCCTCAAACCCTGCCGTGGGCGCCTTGTTCATCCTGGGAGAGAAGGGGAGAAAGTTGAGTCTTGTAGCATGGGCACGTGTTCTCAGCGAGCCTGAGCTCTCCGAGAGAGACAGTGAGCCTCCAGTGTGACCTCAGGCGTGTCATCTGCCTTCCCCGGGCCTCCTCCTTTTCATCTGTAAAATAGAGACAATGAAGACACAGCGAGAAGGCTTCTGCTATTTTTCTCTCTTTCGTGACCTCAAGGGAGTCTAGCCATCACCACCGCTGCCCGCCTGTCACAGACAATCTCATCCAAAGGCTATTTCCACAGCCCTAGTTTTGCAGCAAGGAAACCTGACTCTGATCCTTACCATGGACTTCCCCGTGGGACAACTGGTACACTGAGGCTCCGAGAGGCAGGTAAGTGGTCTAAGGACTAAAGTCAGGAATCACAGACAGCAGAGACTATTCTAGAAGGCTGCTGGGGATAGCCAGCCCCCACCCCCGCACTTCTCAGCATGAAGCACTTATGAGTGGTGTGGTGGGAATGGCAAGAGACCCAGGACAAACTTGGGGCATCTTCCTGGAATATCTATTTCACTTGGTGACAGGGAAAAACACATTTTACATAAAAGATGTGGTTTTATTATGGCCTAGATTACAAAATGGGGATGAATTTTAAAGATTTAAGAGTCCTCACATTAATTTTGCTCTCTCCCCAGGCCTCCATGTGGCAAGCTTCCAACAACGGGGGAACTCCTGTGTATGGCTTCCTCTGCACGCAGAGGCCCTTCTAGTCCATTCCCGTCCTGCAGTAATGCAGAGGTGGGGAATCTGAGGCCTAGGGGGTGCAGTGTGGAGCCTGGGGTCCCTAGGTAAGTCCAGAGACACCAGGACTGAACCTTGCCTTCCTGAGCCTGAGCCAAGATGCTTCCTATAGCTCCAAGGGGCCTCTGGGTGCAGCACAGTGGGCTTGGGACAGGGTGTGGCACTCACCGGAGCACAAAGTCGTGCCTGTCTATCTCAGGCCCATAAGAAGACTCCCTCAGGTTGCCTGAGTTGCCCACAACGGCACAGCGCCGGCAGCCCACCGACCTCTTCTCCAGCATGGGGTCCACATTCCCAGGCACCACTCTGAACAGTTCCTTGATGGTGTCGTTCAAGTTATTGGGCTTCTTCTCCCGCTGGAGCCTCTGTGGGCGGAGGACAGAAGGTGGTCAACCTGGCTTTGTGGCCCCAGCTTCCTGGCAGCAGAGCCCTTGAGCTACCTGCTGTTGTTTACTGGGGCCTCCTGTTCACCCTTCTCTCTGCTGGGTCCCTGGAGATGGAGGTGGCTCACACACAGATACCTCCACTTCCTCCTTCAAGGAGACTAAGGGTTACTCAGGAAATAAAGAGATTATTCATGTATTCTGCAAGTGTTTACTGAGCACCTACTATGTGCCAGGCACTGCTGAAGCCACTTGGGTGATCCAACCACACCTGGCCTCAGAGGCCCCTCCAACTCCACATGCCATCAGCGTTTCTCCAACCTGCTCCTCCCTGGGGGCTCCCCTCTCTCTGAAAGGCCCTCCATCCCTCTATGTGTCACTGCTGCTTGAAAGAGAAAAAAATAGCTGTGTCTCACTCCCACCCTGCTCAGACACCAGGGCCCAGGGGCTACATGCTCTTGCTCAAACCTTAACAAGAAGAGCGAGGAGTAGGTGGAAATGCCAGTTCTCCAGTCCCGGCCAGGGATGAGGGACAGAGCAGTAGGGACGTCTGCCATCTCTCCTGCCTGACCCTCAGTTCCCCTGGCCCCAGGACTGTTGGGTTCCAGTCAGACTGAAGAATCAGCAGTTTGCTGGAGGCACAAGGCCTCTGTGATCTGCCTAACAAATCGTTTTCATCTTCTTTTAAAGACCTAGCCCAGGCCAGGTGCGGTGGCTCACGCCTGGAATCCCAGCACTTTGGGAGACCAAGGCAGGTGGGTCGTGAAGTCAGGAGTTTGAGACCAGCCTGGCCAATATGGTGAAACCCTATCTCTACTAAAAATACAAAAAAGCCAGGCATGGTGGTGCATGCCTGTAGTCCCAGCTACTTGGGAGGCTGAGGAGGGAGAATTGCTTGAACCCGGAAGGCGGAGGTTGCTGTGAACTGAGATCACACCACTGCACTCCAGCCTGGGTGACAGAGAGAGACTCCAACTCAAAAAAAAAAAGAAAGCCAAGCTTCCAACAACGGGGGAACTCCTGTGTATGGCTTCCTCTGCACGCAGAGGCCCTTCTAGTCCATTCCCGTCCTGCATTAATGCAGAGGTGGGGAATCTGAGGCCTAGGGGGTGCAGTGTGGAGCCTGGGGTCCCTAGGTAAGTCCAGAGACACCAGGACTGAACCTTGCCTT